AGAGTTCGAGTAACATTTTCTACATGATAATTCCACCTCAAGTGACAGTCAAGAGTTACTATGAGGTATTCAATACTATTCGTGGATTTAATTTTAATGGACTTGCTGGAATTGTCTGGAATTTCTAATTCACGGTAATTTGGAAGACTGTTGTTGTAGCTACAGATTGGAAGAAACATGTTTTTGTCGAAATCAATAGTTAGCTGGTTGAAGTTGAACCACTCAATTATGGTTGTCATGTCAAGTTAAATTTTTTGCTTCAGATCACTTCATGTTTCCGCAGTATATGATGAAACAGTGTCGTCCGCAAAACAATGTAGTACTTCATCTGTGTTCATCTTGAATAAGTTATTCATATAAATAAAGTAGAGCAACGGTCCCAGAACTGTGCCCTGGGGAACGCCGCATTCAACAATTTTTTTGAGCTCACATACTTGTCAATTTTCACACACGCTGTGTATACGATTAAAGGGATATGAATTGAATAATCTCAAGGCTATTCCTTGTATTCCGGAATCCTCCAAGACGTTCATGATCATTATCAACCGTATCAACGGCCTTGGCAAGATTCAAGAAAACTCCAATTACTGGTTCCGAAACTTCAATAACATTATATAACTTTGTGATTAAAGGAGCTTTAGCATCCCCGGTCGATTTTTCTGTTCGAGAGCCAAATTGTTGAGGTGATAATATCTTATTACCATTCAGAAATGATTCAAGTCTAATTTTGATAACTTTTTTTATTAATTTGGGGAAATTTGTGAACAAGGATATTGGTCTATAGTAAACATTCATCTCCTTCTTTGTAAAGAGGCTTTATGATACTTTTTTTGAATTCACTTGGGAATATACCATCACACATTAGTTTATTAATCAGAAAACACACAACTACATGTTCCACTCTTTCATTGCCACTATATACCTAAAAACTGCAGTAGTTTGTCCAGAGACGTTCGAAATTGAATGAGATTGAGACTCCGAATTGTCAAGACGGCTGACGACGGAACTCCGCAAGCGTCAAAACAGTGGCCTATATAAAGACTCCATTATACTCCATGAACATGATCTAATTAAGTGATAATGCTGAATTATAATCTAATTACTGGGTAGCACGAGGCGAACCATCTCACGACAAGGTAACATGGAAATTATATAGTACAAATGTTACTCGAATCCAATTAGCGACGCGCTGAATTCAAACAAATATGTCACTGGGAGCGAGACGTCAATTAGATCGCAGCTTGGAGTACAGGTGGAACAAACTCCCAAACTCGGCAACTCCGTTTCGAGAGTTGTTTGAATGGCCAGCTACTACATTGAAACTCATGGGATCTTACACTCGAATAAGGAAGTTTCCTTTAGATGAATTTTCATAAAATAAAATTGGAAGTCCTCAGTCTTATGTCCACGCGTTACAGAATAGCGATCGAGAGAGTTCAAACCATTCGGGGTAGTAAACTTTCTGAATCTAGTCAAAATATTTTTTTTATGTTCTGGTTCTCAGAGAACATCGTGAGAACCAAAGGAAGTAGGGTAGGAATTGGGTTCTCCTTAAATTTCTGGAGGTTATATGTCACGGAAAGCACCTCCCTTGGCAATGTGTTCCAGAGCCTCGCTGTTCGTTGGATGAACGAGTCTTTGGAAAGAGATGTTCTGCAGGTCTCCAAAGTGACCACGAAGGGGTACGAAGCCTCAACTCGACGGGTTCATCTCGCGGGGACTGCCAAGGGAGGAACAATTGTTGATATTTCAGAAGAGCATCGTCCATGAAAATATCTATGAAATAGCGGTGTTCAAGGGAAGTGAGTGAGTTTGTGAGCGAGGCATCACCCACGAGACGAATTGCCCTTTTTTGGACAGAATCCAACAGTTTCAGGGTTTGTTTGGGTGCTGCACTCCAAATATGGGATAAGAATTTTTCACGAGAGTATAGCTAACGAATGAAAAAATAGAAGTATACAACTTGGCGTCATTGTTGATATTTATATCATGAAAAATAACAATGATCAAATAACTATAAACTACAAATATACACTCAGTGGTTGTTTAGTAATATACGTAACCGCGAAGTCGAATGGAAGATAAAAGGACTTGCAGTTCTTGACTCATTTTTCGGAACTTTAGCACAACAAAAGCCATCAACAGTGTACTTATATATATGTGATATATATATCCGGGAAAAAAGTACTCACTTTTTTCCCACGGGAAAAAAGTAATTTTTGAAAAGTGACATTTTATAACCTGCCAACAGAGATGAAATGCCAAACTTTTACCCGTCACAGAAAAAAGTAGCATTTCGCGATCTAGATACAGAAATAACTATTATGTTAACTAGAATCGATCTTTTTAAAAAAATACCTTCTCTTTCGGAAAAATACATTTCTTCAATTTTCAGAGGGCATCAATGAAAATTCCTTTCATTTCTGCTATAGTAATTGAGCCATTTCTTCCTGAGCCCCTTCCTCTCAAACATTGCCTGGATCAACCCCTGGAACACGTGCCAACAGAACGGAAATCCTGATTCATATTAGGCAACAGGCATGACCTAAATAAGAAGAGCATCGCGCCGCCAGATATCTACATCCCACATTCTCCGCGAGGGGACGCCCTTCAGTTTTCCCGGACTTTTCCGGGGCAATATAAGTCTGCTGTTGCTTTCCGACACGTAAATCGCTCAACTTTGCGAGGCACGTAGATAATGGAATACGAAATGGAGTACTAAAAATGCTATTTGGGAATTTCACCTTGCCTGGAATGTCGGAGGGCATCAAGGGCTTTGTTCCTTTTATTCATGTATACATGTGGCTCTTCTGTTCTTCAGTGATTGTCTGAAATATTTCGTTGGTCTATAGGAACAGAATGATCATATTTCCAAAATCAGAGGAAGAAGGTACATCCACCAAAAAAATTATCGAATCAAGTATTTGAAATTCAAGTTTTCAAAAAAAACAACATTAACACGAACAAATAACGATGCATTTAGTTTCTACGAATAAGTGTTTGACATATCCAACATCTTGATTAATATCATCTTTCTAGTTAGTTTTCTACTAATTGCATGAATGATGAAATCAGGGTGGTTTCTATTGAATTAAAATATGTCTTCCTGTACTTTTTGCCTTAGTATTTGGATATTTGGTGGTCTCTTATAATTAATCAAATTTTAGGGTTATTCCACAAAAACACGTCCATTGGATTGAGATCAGGGCTATTTGCTGGCCATCTGAGGGTTCCATTTCTGCTAATCCAAAACTCATACATTATTCAACAAATTCGAAGCTGCCAAATTAGTTGATTCTGACATATCGGAATTTCTTCTAGGCGATGATTTGATTTGCTAACAAATTCAGATATTTTCGACCTGTTAGGTTACCCTCATCAGACAATATTGGCTATGAAACTTTTTTTCCTGAAATAGCACACCAAACAAGCGTCCTTGTTATTTGACATGTTGCAATTTGCGTGGATTTATGGTAGACCACCAATGTTTATTCTTTTGGCTAAACATTCCTGCTGTAGTGAAAGTAGATTCATCCGTGAGAACAGCTTTTATTAAAAACTCTGGATGATTCTCAATATGCCTCAATATTAGCCGATGAAAAAAATCTTATTGTATATGCACTGATCTTTCTGGGTGCTTTAAAATACAAATTTCAAAAGATAGATATCTGCAAAAAGCTGAATTTAACCTTGAAAATATGATAAAATTTTACGGCTTTCCTATTTCTTCTCTTGATAATACTCTTGGTTGCTCTGAATGACCAAATACAATTTTGAATTGTGTTCTGGTACGGTACGGTTCTTCCAGGATAATTTCGCCTAAAATCTTGCTGCACTATCGAAATTCTTGCAGTATTTCCATGATTTAATCTTCATACTCCGAATGTTTCCTCCACGAAATAACCCATTCGAATGGACAAACCGAGAGGGATATAAAAAAATGCCGTGGCATTCTGTTGTATCGACAGCTATCTAGATGTTATTGGCAATTTCAATTCAATATGGAACATTAGCAGACAATATATACAGTGTGTGCGATTTCAACCCGCAACACCCTCCTAATTTGGAACTCTTCGACCAATTTTCAAAAACGAAAATTCCATAATATAGCATTCAACTAGCTCTATTCGAGAATGTGGACAAATTTGAAATATTCAGAATTTCAAGGCCTTCTTTTGTTTGTCGAAAGTGTCAAAATTTCAAAAACGACTATTAGACATTTTTTTATTCAGTTTTATTGATTTTTGATTGATCTAGAGAGATCTTTCTGTAGAAGTTACTGCGATGAAACTTCGTACCTATGTATTCGATCTGCTCCTCTTTAGAATAACTATACTCAACCGGTTATATCAACTCCATAGATTCAAATACAGGGTGAATCGAAAAATCGAAAATTCCAAAATTTTCCATTAGATGACTAACACCCTATATGAGATTTTGCCTGCAAATTTCGTATGGAGCTATTTCAGCTTTGCTTGAATCGAATAGGAAAGTCACTGTTTCGAAAAAAATTGCCTAATTGTCGTTTTTGAAATTTTGACCCCTTCAACAAACAAAAGTAGGCCTTGAAAATCTGAATATTTCAAAATTTTCCACATTTTTTATTAGAGCTCGTTGAGTAGCATATTATGGCATTTTTGTTTCTGAAAATCGGTCGACTGGTTCTGAATTAGGAGGGTGTTGCGGGTTGAAATCGCACACACTGTATATATTTGTGAAAGAAAAAACACATTTTTCACTGAAGTTGAAAATAAACAGGGTGTTCCATTCGAAAAAACTGATTTCGACTGACTTTTTTTATTTTGTGATTCGCGTCTGTTTGTTTGAGAGGTGCCAGAAGTTATTACAGATGGAACCCTATTACTGCCAAGAATTAAGTTATTTTCACCTCGTATAGTAGAAGATGTAGGTAAGGGCCAAAATATAAGTGGACACCCTGTACACATGGGCCAAATTGGATGCAATGGAAACGTTCAACTTCGACTGATGTCAGAATTTATTTAAATTTACAAGTTGACAAACTACAGATGTTTGCTCTGAAGTTATAAGCTATAGCTATTACTGCTTTATCTAGGTTGGTACCCAGTGAAAAGTTGACCTGTCCGAGTGTCCAGTGTTATAGTTAAAATGTTTTTTTTATTAATCACATTCAAAGAAATGGATAAAATCACTTCCTTTTCTTTTCTGGTCTCAAATTAACAGTTTTGTAAAGTGTTCCACTTGTATCTTCATTTCGACCTCTCTACACACCAACAACTCCCCATCTCTTATCAACTCCATTTGATATGTTCGATGTCCCAGCATCTCCAATGGAAAGTTCATGATAATAAATCTCGCTGATGCATCTTCGATAACGTATGTCCCATTGTTAATAGGGCATATCGAGTTCGATTCTTGAACATCTTCTTCAGTAGGGTAATCCTCATGCATATAGTTATCGACAATTTTACATAAACTTTTGCTATGAATGTAGGTCCTGACAGGATGTTTCGGATACTTGGCATTCCTTCTTTCTGCAATCAAGAGTGATAGGAAAAATAAGAAATGACGGATGGGTCGACATGATTCCAGATGAATTATTATAAGAGGGTTAGAAAACACAAAATCATCTCCACGACATTTAATAATGGAAAGATTATTTAGGGGAACATGTTTCCGACAGTCATGTGTCCATCATCAGCCTCAATCCTTACAAACCAGAGGTCTTATAATATAATACAAATTAATCATGAAAAATATATGAAATAGAGAATTCACTCACGCGGGAATGTGAAAAACATTATGAAAAAACTTTGAATGAAACTATTGTGCAAATAAGCACCGGTCAAGGTCAATTGTGAAGGGGCCCTGCGCCCTTATGAGGACGTTCATAATCAAGATTTAATGGCAAAACCCATTCTTGGAAAAAACCGATAGAGAACGGTGGAGTCATAATTACAAGTGGTGTTCTTAGCAATCCATAAAACGCAAAACGCAAGTTCTGTGATGACAAGACACATATGATAGTGACAATGTCAACTGTCCGTAGATAAAGAATACTGGACGACCAGAAGCATCACTCGACCTAAAACAAAGAGAAGAAACCTAGGTACGTAAATTTGAATGAAGATTAAGGCGGCTAGTAGAGACCAAAGCACGAGAAAGATCTCAAAACTGAAAAATAAAAATTATATTGCTATAAGTTGATTAATGGAAAACCAGAGAATTGAAAAACTTTTGGCAATCAAAATGGGTTTGCTCATTGAGTGAGATAACATTGAAGTCATTTAAGGACGCGTTAATTTCGAAAATTTCAATAGGTTGAGAAGAGCACCTTTCTGACAAGTATGTAAAATTTCCAGATCGTTATTGATATCAAAAGAATGTTGGTGGTTGAGGATATGGTTTTCAAATGAACTTTCTGTGTTATATTCATCAATATTGGGGTTCACTGATTTTTCAATTTTTTCCACATGTTCAAGTACTCTGGTATGAATCCGTCCACCACTCTGACCTATGTATTGAGCATCAATCAGAGCAAGAGACTTCATAAACACCTGATTTGGGAAGGGGAGGAATTTTGTCTTTGGTATGGAGTATGGAGTCCATGGTATGGTATGATCATATTGATGATACACCAAAACGTTGAATAATGTTTCTGATGTCATATAAAACCTTGCCAAGAAAGGGAATGGAGACAAAGCGAGATTTGGATTTTGTGACTGGTGTTGAATTTCGGTTCAAAGACTTGGGGGAATGGTGGTGGTATAGTATATCAATAAGGTAGATTTTGTGTTTTTCAACCCTCACTACACTTCACACTCAGTGAAAAGTATGGACTTCTATGAGATTGGAATATCATTCTCACTGCCAGAACTAATTATTGTTCTCGAGTTTTTGAAATATTTTCTATCTCTTGGAGCGCACGAAAGGAAATTTTTCTTTAATCTTCGTGAAACATCGCGAGTATATAGGAAGAATAGGGAAGAATGGTGGTGTTAGGATTTTCTTTGAATTTTTGGAGGTTATAACTTTTTGGGAATACTTCCATGGGAGAAGAATTCCAAAGCCTCGTCGTTCTATAGACGAACGAGTTCTGAAAGAGTGTTGTTCGACATTTTTCAAGGTTAACGATGCAGGGATTTGTTCACTGGGTCTGTTGAGTTCTTCTGACTGTTATTGCTAGTGATGGAATTATAGCAGAAATTTCTGAGGAATATTTTCCGTGGAAGTAACTATAGAAAATGGAAGGTAGCCGATATTTCTAAGGCCTAACGGAAGCAGATTCGTTCCCGAAACGTTCAAAGCTATGTGAAAATTTGATATTTTTTCTATATACCAATACCTTTCTTCAAACCTATTTCAATAAACAATTGCCACTGACAAGCTAGTGAATTTTTCAAAGGCTCTCTGATGAGAAAATTCTTTGAAGGCTTTGACATTTTTGGGCAAATCATCTGATTTGCCCTTACTACACGTATATTGAGATCATATTCATATTTTCATTTTATAGAAACGAGGAGAGAAAATCCCGAAAAATCTAGAATAATGAATACCACCTCCATGATTAACCTACAGACAGTATCCTACATCATTTTTTCCGAACAGCCTTCAGAGCTATATATACGGCAAAAATTTGGGATTTTTGATTTTGACATTGACCTCACGTTTTAGTTTCGCCAACTGGTGATATTGAAAATGTTGAACCTCATTGGAAGTGACAGAGAGAATAGAGTCGGCACGCTAAAAACCAACTTCTGTTTATTATTCATACATACATACCTCTCAGATTGAATTTGACCCTCTCGTCAAATTCGAACTCCAAGGAAATATTACCGCTGATAGACTGTCGAAGTCGATCGACGAAAAGATGCAAACGGAGACCCCCACTGTCTCCAAACTGATGACAAGAATCGATCGAGATTATTTCGATATTTGATGGCCCTGTGACCTGCAAAAATATTCGATAAGTTGGCTTCTTCATTTATATGATTTGGTGAGGTCTTGCATTCGTTTTTGTGATCATATTTTGGTTGGATATAGCCCTCATACAGGGTGTCCCTAAAAGTTAGTCGAGGCGTAAAGAATCGGTAGCAGCTATTCTGTTCGACAGCATAAGAGTGCTGTGATTGATTGATTGTCAAAGTTTGACACTATGTCTCGTTTTTGGTATACTTCCACTACATAAATCAGCAGTAAATATGTAGGCGAATCAATATCAGAAAATACCAAGAAGAGTAAAGAGTCTGCCTGGAACAATTTTTGTTTTTTTGCCAGCAGAAAAACTATGAATTTTGTACGACTCTACCAACACTCTCGTGATTGCTAGAGTTCCTGAATATACAAAAAACGTCAAAACAGCAGTGTCAAGTACATTTAGGAACTCTAGTGATTGCCAAAATCCTGGAAGATTGGGTGAGAGTATATGGTGAGGAATATGAAGAGTACACAGTGAAATTGATATGGAAATCAATACAGGAAATATACTTCACTGAACATAAACGTAAGATGAATCCATTTGAAGATATCGAATTCAAAGGTGCCAGGGATGCGCATAATGCAAAAAAGCAAAGTCTCAAACAAGGAAAGAACGTTCAGAAGCAATAACTTTAGATACATTGTATTTTTATCCTGTTCATGTAATAATATTCCTGAATATCACTCCACCATGACAAATAGAGGCTAATAGTTTATTCAATTCATCTCGAATACCTTGTATTTTGAAACAATTCAATTCGGCCATATGAACATTAATAATCTGAATAACTCCCGAGAGCTTCAGCTCGAGGGTCTCATCAAATTGTCAAAATACAAGATGATCTTGATGGAGTAATAAGAAAAATAATAGTCAGCTATTTGTCATAGTCTCGGGATATTACCTACGATAATTTAGCAATCTCAATTTTCGACCGAAACATTTTTGTTCTATTCAGTGACTTCGAACAATGAATCTGTTACAGGGTTTCTAAGATTTTTCATCGCAATCAAATATGGAAGAAAAATGTCGAACTTATTAGTGTCAGACTTTAAAAATCAATCAATCATAAGCACTCTTATGCTGTCGAACAGGATAACTGCTCATTTTATAATTGTTTACCCAAATAGCCGCTGTGTTATCGCATATCATATGACTTCAATCATGAAATTTCATAGGTGCAGCCATGTGTGAATAAAATAATCCTATCCATTGACTAATCGCAAGACGTATGCAATCAAGCCTCAACTGATCTTGCGATGAGGTTAATTGTAAGACTTATCAGCAAAAAGAATCTTTTTATCGCGTCATGTCTGTTCATCACCTTAGTTGATCGACACTAACTGCCAAGTTATTGTTAGTCATGGCTGAGTTCACATGTTAACCTTGGTCTTATATCCCTAAAATATATAGAGTGCTCAATAAGATAGGTTCATTATCCTTCATAACTCTATTACCATTCTTAAATATCTCTAAGCTTCCAACATAATATGCATATAATTAACTTTGTATGTGTGCTATGATGTGATATGATCGTGATTGAAAATGTATACTTCACCCGATCTTTTCAACCCACTATATTTCAAGTGTTCTATGTGTTCTTTGAACCTTGCTATTATGGGTCGCTCGGTTTGGCCCATAGATGTTTTATCACAATCATTACGAAATCAATTGTGTTCGTATCTTTATCACCCTTACCCTAGCACAATGAATTCAAGATGATGGAAGAAACGATATCATCTTCAAACTTACGTAAAGTCCCTCAGACACATAGAAATAGGAAATGATGATAATATTCAGGATGAGGTATACGGTACCAGGCTGTGGTATTGGGAAAGGTGGGCACTTGCAGCACATGGTCTGTTGTTGATGTTTGCAGAGAGCAAACTGACCGAATACGATCCACGAAACTGCATGAATCGATGCATGATTGCTTCCGGTTTGAACGAATCTGATTATAAGGCATACATCCTCCTACATCAAACTTTAATACAATAATGCTATCATAATAACGTGTTTGATCAACGTGTTTATACAAATGGATCGATTATGTTCCTCATTTATCTCATCTTAACTAGAAATCAGAAGCAAATTTTTAATTCCAAGTTCATTTGATAGGGCAATAACGAAGTCGAGATTATCTCTATTCTATACAGGGTGTCTCAGAATAACGTTCGTTTACTCTGGGAAGTGCTTCTGCAGATGAAAATAATAAGAAATGATCAAATTATAGTTTAGTCATGGAAACCAGCCATCCTTCTCAAGGTGGTCCAGATTTTTTCAAAGAAAAAAACAAAATAACACCAACTCGGTCGACCACAAATTTTTTTCACATGAATTGAATCGTTTGTGACTAGTTTCGGTCCATACAGTCATTTTCATACACAATAAACAGTATACCTATGAAGACATTTAGTTTACATGGATAATAAGTTATTGAGAAACAATCATACCTATAAGGCCACGTGGATATCACATTATAAAATGAAATTGAAAATTAAAGAGCCGTGTGGTCATTTGGCCAAAAATCAGTCCGGTGAAGAAATGTTAACATTTTTGAAACGACGTAACAGCCAAAAGAACTCAACTATCATTAGGTTCAACATTAGCACAAACTTGGGAAAATTATATTAATTAATCCACTCAAAGGAGTTTCATCTTCAAATGGCCATTTTTGTGAAAGACAAAAGCCAAAGAGAAGGCGAAGCGTCAAGCATAGCAACAGAAGTTGACAGAATACAAGACTAATGACATGGACAATATTAGAGTAAATATTGAAGAACTTGGTTGCTTTTGGCAATTCACGAGAGCAAATATAACAATGTTATTTGCTAGAGTCATGTAACAAGCTACCAAGTTTGAGTGGAACGAAATCAAAATTCATTCGATGAAAACAAAACCTCGAGTAGTAGTTAGTGAGATAATTTATCGAATCAAATGAATAAATTATTGAACAAAAGTGAATAGAACATAATTTATTGAATTGAATCAATAACAAAAAGTTCATTTGACAGGAAATATTATTTGAATGTACAATTGTAAGGGTCTTTATTCTGGGGCCCTTACTTTGGCGCTCTGTTCAGGACAGGAGACTACTCTGGTATTTGACAGGGGGGATTCTCGAGCGCCAGATTTTTGATAAAGGTGATTTACTTCACCTGCTCCTCCCAACTTAGTCAGGAAGGAGGCCCACAGTAGCAACAGTGGAGAAAGGTACAGGAGGTATACCTACCTCGGTACCCACAGTATAAACCAGGGGTCAATGGTATTGAATCGACCTGGAATCAATAAGAAGCCAAGGGAGTGTAGGCTTTAATTACAAACCCTGGGTCTAGCCTGGAATACTGGTTGCTATTTCTGGTCTGGATAATTACAGGAATCAAAGCAAAATATCTTTCAGGTCTTTGATATTTTAAGGTTAGGTCTGGAAAATTATTTATTCAACTATTTCATTATTTCTACCTGGAGAATCGGAAACACAGTTCTAAACGAATCAAACAGATTCAATTTCTATTTATCTTTTCTTTTCCTTCGATTTTTCTAATTTTCTAATTTCGGATTTTTAGTGAGGTTAATTAATTATATTTTTTCCATTAATGTCAATAGTTCATGAAACATAGAACACCGCCTGACGGGATACAAAGCACAGAGACACCGGTGCACAGGACTGGATTTCTCAAGGAAAAGAAGAAGAAGAGTTGTTAACTGGCTTGTCAGTGTCAGTCGTCAGTCAATAATAATATTCTGCAATTTTAACAAATGAAAATATAGAAAATCACTAAATGAATTATTGAACTAGTTGGAACTGAAAACAATGACAACAGAGAAGGAAATATGGAATATGCAGTCACAAAATCCGTTTATTCAATTTTAGAGTTCTGGATTCTTTACACAGGTCGGGTGAGTATCGGTGTGAAAAACAACAGGAATGAAATGAGGCTATAAAAAGGATGAATAACACTGGTGAAAAATATACAGACTTACATATGTAACAGGAAATCACTATACAATACTATTTTACACTGGTTTTGAATGAACTATGAGAGCACTAAAAGATCAGCTAGAGAATCAGGAGCTTGAAGAGCAACGGAGATCAGGTAGTGTAGACTTGTAGAGAAGAGCTTAGAGAGTGTCCCGAATCCTTGGCTGTCTTCAGTATTCATACACTGCTTTGGCCTTGGCACAAGGACAAGTGCATCTGGAATCTCATTGGTCAAAACTCCCACCTTGTCATGGCTCATGGCCATGTCCACTAGATCTGTCCTTGGAAAGCACATGTGCACCTCCAACATAACGCGGAAAAAATAATATTCAACCTCAAATGGGCACAGGAACAGGATCTACTACCTTTGCTTATGCTACTGAATGAATTTGGCTGGAAAATATTCAATAACAACAAAGTTATGAGCATTTAAACATTCATCATTTCAACTGATAAATAATTCAATCAAATTTCATATCATAAGCAAAGGGTTGAAAAATATTGAAGTCTTCAGGGTTATAATGATGTTCATCAGCTTTTACTATCAGGAAAAGCTGTGGGAAGTCAGGAATCCATGCATTACTCAGCTCTCTCAGGTTTTCAGGTTTCGAGCTTTCGAACAGGTGAAATTCAACTAGAATCAGGCTCAGGTACTTAGATTTTGATCAAAACCAGTCTAGTAATGAAGCTGGTCAAAAATACTTCATTACACAATTACTGGAAGTACAGTTTTAGTATACAATCCTATCCGAAGAAGACTGCTGAATTTGATTAGTTTCCTCTCTTCGATTCTTCACTGAAATGGAATGATGCTATGAGTCTAACTGAAGGTATGGCTTCAATTGATAGTTGTTGCAGTGGTGGAGGAGACTAAAAGTTTATCCACTTGCAAACAGTTATAGTCCAAGAACCTCCATCTGATAACGAAATTATTCATGTCCGAGAGGCATGTTGAAACATTGTAGTCCATCGAACGGCACCTGTGCCAATCACTATCCTATGAACTACAATGTTTTCACATTTCTTTGAGATATATATCATTTCGTTATCAGATGACGGTAGAAACTTGCAGCCGGCTTTCCTACTTTCACCTTCCTATTTATTTTGGTGAAAGAAATGAATGATGGATCTTGAAACAAAAAAAATTGGGGTATTTTTATAGCATTGGTTACAAGTTGCACACCTCCCTGTATATAAAATCAGATATTCCCTACCATGATCCAATTTGTGAAATCAAATCACTTTCAAAGGTACCAATGATTGTGATCCAAGGATCACTCAAAACAAGGATAACTGAAGAAAGCTGCATTGAAGGACCTACCTTCAAAGGGCTCTACCGCCCTTAGGAAACAGTTTCGGATGAAAATATTGCCTATTATTTTCCAAAAAATTACCTCCCGGAATATACGAACGTTAATCTTGGACACTTTGTATAATAATCAACTCAAATTTGTGCTCCTCAACGTAGAAGTATCTCATAGATATATAATGTCTGCGCCAGACACTGACTCATGAACAACTAAGGAATTCCATAATTTTGACAGAAGAATCGCATCTCTCGATCAATGCTGATACCATCAGGTACGAATTTTCTTACCAATCGTACCAAGATAGGTAAAAAATTCGATATACCTATCTTCAAAATATCTATATTTCATCTCTTCAAACATTTTTCCAAACAAAGAGTCACTGATAGGCTATTGGATTTTTCTCTGAGGCCCCCTGATAAAGAGATTTGTTAAACGCAATGACATTTTTGGTCAAATCATCTGATTTGTTTTACTACACATATATTGAAATAATACTCATATTTTTATCTTGTAAAAACGAGGAGATAGGAAATCGTTTCTGAATGGAAAAGAATATTTACACATATACATACATATAAACAGAAAACGAAACCATCTTGTGAAAATTGAGCATAACCATACATAAAAACCAATCCACTTATCTCCTAATGTCATTCTGCTATTATAGGTATACGTATAATGATTTCGTGACAAAGAGATCGAATCATATACAAAACAGAACATCGCAGGGATGAAGGTATTGGTGTTATTGGGAAATATTATTGTTTGAATTGAATTAACTCAATCTACATCTCCTTCAAATATACTATAGGGGAAACACAAGTAAAATAAACGACTCTGTTTTCTCCACCATACTTGAATAATCTCCTTGCAGAATTTTTTATGGCATTTGAAGAATCATATAAATGTAGGTGATCTGTTTCTTGTTTTGTATTCGATTTACTATATTTCATGGAAGGTAATGACTTCACACATATCAAATTTGCTGCATGGGAATTCTACTATTGGAACCCTTTGCTATATGTGGCAAACATGTGTATTTGCCAAGATGTAACTAAATTGTTTCAAAAAACTCGATCAATTGATTTTGAATTCACCTGGTATAATTTATTCACACATAACACAATAATTGAAAATGTAGATTTGATACATCAGCTTTATCTCTCCCATTAAATTGAACATAACTATGCTCAGAAATTAATGTTATGTCATATCCCTATTTGAATGGACCACAAATGGTAAACAGTATATTTGATTTAATCGCATTGTTTCCTGTTTGTTGATAACTTTCGTCATCAAATTTATATTAGCTCGGTCAGAACTCTGAACATCATGCTTCAAACGAGATTGATATTTCCACTTGAGTAGAAATCGTCCCTAACGATAATGAAACGAGGTTTCAAGGTTTCATTATATCTACCTATAGTGATTATGGAATTTTCAAATTCCAGCAGAAACAGCATCAGTTCACCAATTATTCAACAACTATTCTCTCATAGCTCTGTGAAATGTTTTAAATGATATATCTATCGCTCTGTCATCATCAATTCCCAAAGTCATGGAATTTTCCTTTATTATCAGACCTGATTTGATCTAGTATGCCTTTTGTATTGTTATGTTGTATGTGTGTCATGAAAAATCCACTTTCTATGTCG